TCTAGATGGGTGTGTGTAGCTGCAGTGTATTTCCACTGTTGATCATTCTACAGCACAGACCTCAGTAGAAGTGTAAGTCACTCCCCAGTCATCCTGACGCTGTATCACTGTAACACAGAGCACATCAGGAACCACAGTCAGACTCAGAACAACATCAAAGGACACACTCTCATTTGTAGTGAAGTAACGAAAGAGTCAAAGATGTACACATGATCTCTGCAGTTGGAAGGAACAGCAACGCATTGAACCTGTCAACTTAAACACAGTGAACAAGATAAAAAAGCTGGAGTTTAAATATTAGATGGGTGCTGTTCATGAGAAAAAGAGTCTGCTTTGCTCTGTGCTCTTCTGTCTGTGGTCAGCTGCTGCAGAGTGAATGGAAACTGTAGATAAATGCAGAGCACTGAGGTGCGGGCTAATAGTGTGATATGTAGATAACAGATCACCGACAGATAGCTTCGTTGAAGCATTAGACTGGTAACGGCTGTCAAAAGTCAACACGAACACCAGTGCTCTTTTAAAACCCAAAAAATCTAAATTTGCAGCATCTGGCAGTGAATTAATTAATCGTAACACTCCCCGAATCCGCAAAAAGAGACACAGAAAAAAATAGTGAGAGAGTTCAGCTCCAGGCAGCAGTGCTCTCTGCTTGTTCTGTGTTTGCAGGAGGGAAACTATTGAAGGTTCAAGTCTTTGTTGCTTTAAACGATTTGCCAGGACTTCGATAAGGTAGGGAGAAGGGCGTCGAAACCATAGACTGTATATACTCATCGTGACATCACCCATTGGGACTGTCGTTTTTGAAGCCTTGTGTTGGGCGAGTTGGCCGTTGCCATCTTGGATGGCGGAGGAGTGACGTAGAGAAGCCGTATACTCTGATAGTGGTAGTGATCGGTCAATCACAGTAGCCCCGCCCTAAAGCATCCCCTGCTTTATGGTCTGTTTGACTCTAAATGGACCATAATGTACTAAATGAACATCATGCTGTATTGAAGAAGACTTGAAACTAGAGATTGAGACCATAAACTCATGTTTACAATGTTTACTGAGGTAATAAATCAAGAGAGAAGTAGAGTCATTTTCTCATAGACTTCTATACAACCAGAGGAGTCGCCCCCTGGTGGACATTAGAGAGAATGCAGGTTTCAGGCACGTCGTTATTTCTGCTCAGTGTGGACACTTTAATGTCACGTGATGGTCTAAATTTAGAATTTCTTTTCACGGCAAAGAGAATTAAATTTGGGATGACACTATATTTGACACCGTATTTTCAAAAACATATTTATTTATTGTATAAAATGATATTTAAATACCTGCACGAATGAGCAGCTCTCTATATCGAAACGTTTCGGTACCTTTTTTACCTTAAAAGAACCCTTATAGAATATGTATGTGCTCATAAGCATGTGATTTGAGAGCAGTTAACTGAGTCCGTATAAATTAACATTCACTGCCACCTGTAACCGATCATGTACCCCCCGTTGGTTTTGGCAGACAGATCTGTTCCCTCTCATCCACTTGTACTAGGACTTGATGCCTATAATAGAAGGAGGCATTAGGGCTGACAAGGTCAGGTAGAGCCCCTCCACAAGATTATTTTCTTCTTTTATGCAGAACTGACAGCAGAGAGCAGAGGAGATGTTCGCCCAGCGGGGGCTGCAAGATGAGCTGGCCCTGCCTCGGTCCTCGGAGACTAATGCATGAGGAAAGATTAGAAGCGAAACAACTGGTCTGAATGATTCAGCTGCATATGAACTAAAAAATTCAGTTGTGAAGTTCAGTAGCGGCAGATTGTGGTGACGCAGTTGTTAATACTGCCAGTATGTTAAGCATACGCATCACATTCTCACCCCCGATGCGTCAAGTACCGCAGCTTGGTCAGTGGCCATATAAGCTTGAAACTATGATGCTCTACGTCCCCCCAATGGCGTCAGTTTTGGACGTGTCAGGGACGGTGTGTCAGGGACGGTGTGTCAATAGACGCTCGATTTCCAAAGTTAGGTTCAGGCAACAAAAATACTTTGGTTGAGGGAAAGAGCGTAAAAGACGAACGACTCAATGATCCGAAATGTCAGCATTTACTTTACTTTTGTATTTTGCACGGGACAGGAACAGCGGTCTCCTGGGCAGAAGTCCTGTGTTTGTTTGACCCACCCGCCTTTTGTGGACTATCTCGCACTACATCAGTTACTCTTAGCGCTTTTTAATACTGACGCTGAACAGGGTCTCCGTATGTCAGACGCTGAGCATCGCTGACCTAAACTGTGGTATTTGACGCATTGGGAGTGTTTATTAACTATATTTCTCTCGGCCCGTCAGTAAGGTTTCTGCAGATTAAAGGATCATTCCTGTTTCTTTTCTTTACACACTCTCTTGTGTCTTGTGAATCCTATCTGTGCACCTGCCCCTTCATTTCAATACAAACAGCTGCATGTGTCATGCATCAAATCTGCACTTAAACCTCTGACGCCATCTGCCCAACGGTGACTTCTGTTGACTTTAGCGATCATTTTCCTCCAATCAGGGATTTCTGCAAGTGGAACAATCTTGTTAATTAGCAGTACACTTCGTCTGAGATCAGCTGTGTGGTTTGTGCGTCTTTGCCTTGTGTGCACGCAAGATTCAGCAAATAAGTTATACAAATGTACACAAAGAAATGCAGTACAATAAAACTATTGCTTTCTTTGTTCATGTGTCAGGCACACGTGTAGTTCAGGGGAGAAACAAATACTTTCATATAGATCACATAGTTTAGTTCTGTGATGCCGCTGATGCACAGATCTGCTCCAGCGACCTGCTATTAATGGTGAAATTGGGCAAAAGTGGGTTCTGATTTTTTTCTTTCTCTGATCTTTGTCTTCTGGAGCGTGAGGACTGAGAGACTGACACAGCAGCGGCAAGAGCCAATCGGCTGCCTCCGCTGTCCTTGCCGTCCAATCGGCAACTCCCTCACCCAGGCTTTCATAATCGTGTTGTGCACAGTCTAGTATTTTTATACTGAGGGTGTGAAATACGTTTTTTTTTAGCAGCTTTATGTTCAGTGAAGTCAGGGGAATTGCAACAATCAGGTCTTGATTTTTTTTAGAATGTCATGATAGAGTGACAGTAACTCAGATGCTCGTCTCAAAAGCAAATGGTGACTTAAAACAGGCTTTGTTAAACTTTTTAGACCTCATTTCAGATATTAAACTATTAAACATGATGTAGAAAAAAAAAAAGTTGGATAAACTGGTTGTAATTCAAGTACGGTCGCCTTTATAGAATTGGTGAGAGATTTGTTTTTCAGATTTTGTGGCAAACTGGTGGTTGTTGCCACTGTATTGATACCTGTATTGTTCACACTCCTCAAGATGTAACAGAAGCCCCTTTAAAGCCTGTCATTTTAAGATGAAGATGATTTATTCATTCAGTGACATTGTAAAGGATCAATTTAGTCATGCATAGTCAAGATGAGCCCACTGAGGATAAAATACTTATAATACATATATGTATTATGTTTCATACATACAATACATGTGTTTCCCCCCTTAGATCTCCTTCATTTGAATACAAAATGTGTAAAAAGGGGCTTTAAAGTATAAAACTAGGGGATTCTGTTCCATCGCGGTGGCTGTCTCTAGTCTTTGTGCTAAGCTAAGCTAACTGTCTCTTGGCTCAAGCTTCCTATTTAACATGCAGACATGAGACTGGTATATCTATCTTCTCATCAAACTCTTTGCAGGAAAGCGAATAAGCGCATATCACCCAAAATGAAGAGCTAAAGCCGGGTGCATAAATAAAAAGATGATTAATGTTAGCTTCATTTTAAAAGACATCCTCTCCTGCAGTTGAGCTTCGGATACTTATCACTATGATGTATGCTCCTGACAAATATAAAAGTAGAAAAACATCTCAATCTGTCTTCACCTGCAGTCCTCACTGTCCTCCAGCAGGTGGAGACACTGCACAGCATTTGACTGAGGATATTTTGTACCCCTCCCCCCCCCCCCCCCAAAAAAAACTGCTCTGCACAGTCACTCTCTGACCTCCTCAGTCCTCCCGGAGCTCTGAGGGGATCTGCATCTGTCAGAATAAGACAGCAAACACTGAAGCTTGTCACAAAAAAAAATAAACACACACACACACACACACACACACACACACGGGAGTGTTTTCTGCTTGAGATGCCCATCACACCTTCAGCTCTACATCGTGGCTGCCCACATCCAGCCAGAGCAACTAGTCGTACAATCTGCAGCAAAGTCTGTGTTGATGCACTGGGTGTGAATATCTCTCCTGGATATTGTTTATATCAGTATATACAGTATGTTATTAATATTGCATCATGGTAATGTGTCTTCATTATACATTAAATGATTGAAGGAAGAAGATAATTAAATATAAAAGTCACTATATACTCACCTTTAACCTCCACTGATATTGTGCATTTTTAATTACATACACATATATTTATATATATATATATGTATATGTATATACAGTACATGCGTATATATGTGTATATGTATATATATGCGTATATATATGTGTATATGTATATGTGTATATATGTATACATGCGTATATATATATATACATACATATGCATATATGTGTATATATGCATATGTATGCAAATATATACATATTAATGTATATGCATATATATATATATATATATATATATATATGCATATATATGTATATATGTGTATATGTGATTTTATATATATGTTTATAGAGATGTATATATGTGATTATATATATGTATATATATATGTATATGTGTATATAGGTGTATATATACATATATTATTACATTGATTCATAATCACAAATATAAGACATTCAAAATAAAATATAATTGTATGTGTAACGTGTTATATTATATATATAAATATATATATATATATATTTGATAACTATACTCTCATATTTCGGGGCCACACCTTTCATCTCATCCTCAACACACAGTAGCCTACCTGGAGGATTGCTATGGCAACAGGTTGCCAGGAGCGACGGGGTACCCCACTACATCCCTGCGTGTCTGCGACGAGGAGACAAAAACAAGGGGAGCAGCAGAGCAGAGGGTGAGGTCTGCTCAGTCAGCAAACTGGAACAGAAGCACCACTGCGAGGCTTCTTTGGAGGTTCTTCTTTAGTTTTGTTCGTTCTGACCAGAAGTGAGGAGCCCTGCGGTCTGCAGAGGACCAGCGCGCGGGAGTGATTTGGAGGCTGAAAACAGAAACGTCGGATCTGAACAGGATGGAGAGCCGCCGCTGACGGAGATTCCCGAGCTCTCCCCTCCTCACACACCAACAGGTTAGTGTTTCCAGACTCGGTCACTGAACACTCCTCGCGACCACATTAACATTCAGCTCGGAGCGTTTCTTTTTTCCCACCCCTTTAAATATGTTCATGTCATAATTTGATTCATTTTGCTGTGAAAGGTGTGAAAGGTTTCCGACGTTTTGATGCATCCACGTGTGCAGCAGGGGAGTCCGGCTGCGTGTGCCCGTGTACCGGCTCGTGTTCAGACATCGCATCATAAACCAGTATAAGCCAGTATATCGGACTGTTTCTTTTTTTACATACGTCCATTTAAATGGCGGCTCTTCGTTTTGCGTTGAATTGTTGTTGAGCTTTTTTTCTTTCGTGCGTTGAAGCTGCGGGTGCGTCTACCTTTGATCACAGTGGGATTACATGCGTTTGGATGGATCAGACTAAATACATTAGACTTCATCAGTACGAGCATTATAGCTCACTACTCTGCAGCATTTTTTGTTTTATTGCATGCATATCTTTGCTTTTATCCACCCTGGCTCATATTTAGTAATGTTGTCAGGCTCACACCCTTTATCCTCTGTTGCCTGCATTTCTTTACACAGAAAATATGAATCTCCTGATGCAAAATTATAGAAAATGAGAGTTATCATTTGAACTATAAACATTTGCATATAATGATTTTTTAAAATTATAATTTAGATATATATTTTCTATTACAATTTTCAAATTCTTGCTGTTTCACTAGGTTTGGTATTAAAAGGTTTATTTGTCACATACACAAACAGTATGTGCAGTGAAATACAATGTTCTCTTAAAATAAGAAAATACGATAAATGTGCAATGAAAACAAAGAACAAATGTACATTTCTATATATTTCTTTCTTATTTAATAATGAACTACTGTATTATGCTGTATTGGTACATTGTATGACTCAAAGTCACTGTTCAACAGTCACTTAATAACGCAGGACATTTTATATTGAGAAATGATTGACAGCATACTGGAAAATGAAGTCCAATAATTCCCCTCAACGATTTCATTTCACCTCGTCTAATGCAGTTTGAATTCTCCATTAGTCATAGTCATCTCTCTCTCACACACACACACACACACACACACGCACACACACACACACACACACACACACACAGAGGCCTGCAGCCAGTTAAATCAACTTTTCAACATAATCTGCTTCATTTCTAAATTTCCGTGTCACACTCACTTCCTTGTCAATTTCTACTCTCGGTGCCTGACATCGTTTCATCTCGTCTCCTCACCATAGGAGCCATCGCTGATGCGGCACCATTGGACTAAAAATAAACTTGTGCACTTACATTATGCAGGTCACTTTCTAAAAATCAGATAGGGCGTGTGTGTATTTCTGCTATTTCCGGGCGCTTTTTTAAATTAATTTTCTTCCTGAAATGTAGCTGCTGATGATCAAAGCAGACAGATAACATGACCTTCTTCAAACGGCGGAGATCTCATTTTGAAAAAAATTAAATCTCTCAAAACTTGTCGAGGCATTAATAGCTTACATGTTGAGCGTATCTCCGTGTACGACTGTCGAGGAAAGCTCTAAACTCTTCGTCATGTAGAGCCGCTGATGATGGGAGTCTTTGAGGTGCGAGTAGCAGAATAGCAGATTGGTCTCTGGCCCAAAGTGCTAATACTCAGCAAACACCGCTGGGCCTATGGTTGACAAGAAGACGAGGTCATGATTTGACATGATGGGGGGGAGAAGCGGTAGACAAAGACAAGCAGCCCGTTACTTATCGTTTCTCGCGAAGAGGGCGATGAATCGCAGCTCTGAAATATCATTTTTTGAGTTGTAAGTGTGATGGATTACAGGATGCTGATCAGCGAGGCAGAACTGAAGGCTGCTCTGTCTCCTGAGAGTGGCCTACATAAATGTTTTTTATTATTTCTTTAGGCAGAAAGAGAAAGATCCTCTGACCGTCTTGTCACTCCAAGAAGCCTCATAACCCCCCCCCCCCCCTCTCTAGTGGTTGTCAATCTCTCTGACGGATCTTCACGCTTACAGGAGCGTGACCGAAGGACGCAACCCGAAAAAAAGATTGGAGTCTGGGTTATGCAAACATTTCTCGGAGGCAGCTGATAACCTGGTACTGATCTGATTGATCTGATTGGTGGAGCTCATTAAGCAAAGCAAAGCCAGGGTTACTGGCATTCGAACGCTTTGGCCGCCCCAAGCTGCTGTCTCCATGTCTTCAGCTCTACAAAATGTTATTTACGTACAAGTTAAAGTGGAAAAATATGTTTTATTGCTGTGAAAGGCGATAATAATTAAACCCTCCGCCTCCGTCCAAACATAATGTCTTGTAATGTGCACTCACATTACAGAGTATACCTTCTGATTCAATCTACCGTACTTACTGGAATTATGCACATTTAGTCAATGCAATGGACGTACTGTGAAGGACGTTTGGGTACATTTACCACAATTTAACATATCCAGACAATTTGGTTCAGATAAGTGTTTCCCCAACAGCCACAGGAAAGTTAACTCGGAGCAGACGTGAGAAGTTTAACAGAATAGGAAAAGAAGGAAAACCGTCTTTTGCAACCTCGCACTCTATAAATTATTCAGATGTTCCTCTAATCGTTGCAATTTTTATTCTTGTAAATTTGTTGGATTATTCACCTCCGCCAAGGCGTTCATGTTTTCTGTCTGTCAGCAGGATTGCAGAGACTTGGTGGGTGGGTGTAGCGCGGGCCAATGAAGAACCCATTACATTTTAAAGCGGATCCGAATCACGAGGCGGATACACACCTTACTTTTCATTTATGGAAACGGCGTTGGCGAAGGTCTGCGCTCTCCGAGTGCCCTTCTAGTTTACAGTGTTTCAAGCTTTTTTTAAATGAATTCCATGAAGGAAATGAAACATGCTCCTTTGGTTGAACTGGACACTATTAATGGTAGAGATGCAACGGTAGACGTCACTTTGTTTTAAGTGATTACAAGCCAGAAAGTTTGAGCAAACTTTGGTTCGTATAATTATACCTGACAGCTCATGTTGCTTGTTGTTCTGATAGACTTGCTGTTTGTCCTCAATTAAGTTGGTAAACAAACATGATTTATCCCTAAAGCTTCAGAAATAACGAGCAAAAAGTCTCACATAAGGGTTGAATAAACAAGTATGTGTGGTGCTCCTGTACTGTAGGAAAAAAATAAGACAAAATGTGGAAGTGGTTTGCAGCAATCCCTTTGCTCAGCGGGAGAAAAGACATGAAACGAAGAGCAGTCCTGTCGAGCCAACGCTTTTCTCCAAATGTCTTGTGCTGGGGCCTCTTTCTGCCAGAACAAATGATCCACACAGAAAAGCTGCAAGCTGTTACTCCTGTTCAAAATCAGTCGTGAGAAAATGGTGTCCACTGCTGAGAAGAAAGCCGAGGCGCCTAAAGCTGACTAAACTAACTAACACAAGCCCCTGCGGGCTCTCTGTTCTGTCGGGTTTCAAGGTGAATGTTTCTGCATTCTGCCCATTGTGACCAGCAGCAAACTCAGTCTAGCACAATGCTATAACGGGACTAACAACCCCCCCAGGTCCCTTTTTTTATTGTCAACAAATCTCATTTAAAACTAAACCCAAAGATGTAAGCTGCTCTCAAAACCTTCCGACTTCCTAACCTTTCAGCTTTAAACCCGCTGGTTCCTGCTGAAGATTACAAATATGTTGTTTTATTTTTTCAAAAAGTCTCAGTAATTTCCTCAAACATCTGGGCACTGTAGCTTTTAGCACATTCCCCTCAAACATGATTGAATGAGGCATTTGTTGGGGACTATTTTCAGCTGTGGATTAACACACATGTGGTGCTCTTGTGAACATTTACGGCAGGAACATGTCATCTGGTGTAAAAGTGTTTTCCGTAGTTTCTGGATAACAATAGAGCTCTATGGCACAGAGGGCTTTGGATGCACACAAAATACTCGTCTCAGGAGACAATGGGATTGGTTGACAAATGTAGAATATCACCAGCCATGTCTTTTTGACACAGGGCACCAACGTAAGACTAATCTTTAGAGCCTCAAGATTAAGAAATACAGGAGGAGCCTCATTAATTCATCACATCAGTTGATATTGAAATTAAGGTAAAAGTGGAGTAATGTCTACCTGAGCAGAGAATGTCCTCTCTGGTTCTCCCCTCAGGTTAACACTGTTAGCTCTGCCAGCATCTGTTGCAGTTGTTTGCACTGTTAGCGCTGTTGGCACCGTTGCTGAGAGCCGGGTGGAGGCAATGTCTCAAATCATAGATGCTCTGAATTTAAAATGTAGCACCTTTAAAGTGAACATATCTTCGGTTACATTAGTTTAAACCAGCGGCAGTTGCCCGCTTTACCTGGTTGGTAATCAAACCGTCGTTGTTTGTTTGTATGCCAACAACATGTTTAAAACTAAATGGTGGCATTGAATACAAATTGCTGATGCAGATTGGTTGCATAGGAATATAATTAACTAGACAAGGTTGGATATTTCATAATAGCAGGCTGTGGTTTCAAAGCGCCAATTCAAACCCCCTGAGCTGCAGACATTCAAGGCCAAAGGAGTCCCCTGAGCCTCCTCTACTCACGGAGCGGGAGTTTTACCAGGAGTTCCAGAAATAGAGAGCCTTTATAGAGCGAGGACTTTTTTCTGTTTCTACGATTACATGGAGTTCATATATTTGTCAAACCACAGAGGACAATACCTCCAGTATAATCCGTCTGTTTGGATTCTCTCACAGGTCCACCGAGCCCATCTTCACCTCCAAAATCTTTACTCAACCAACAAAAGAGCTGGAGCCGAGACGGTCAAGCATGGATGTGCCCAGGATGGCCGAGGGCCTCTTCAGCAGCACGCTGTCCTCGTCAGGCGGTGGCCATCACGTGCCTTCCTACCTGACGCTGGAGCAGAAGGCGGCCTTCGTCTTCGTGCTGCTGCTCTTCATCTTCCTGGCCCTGCTCATAGTGCGCTGCTTCCGCATCCTGCTGGACCCCTACCGCAGCATGCCCTCGTCCAACTGGACAGACCACACCGAGAAGGACACGTTCGATTACCGCATCGTCTGAGGAGCCCTGATTAATTACAACATACAAATAAATAAGTAAAAGGCTGATTCTGATGCTCAAACAACAAATGTCTGCAGATTCACCAGGAAAACAACAGCTTTCAGAAAATCCTCTGAAAGTTCAGAGTTTCGACGGCGGATTGTCGTCGAGATGAGCGCTAACCAGAGTTCAACAGCTTCTCCCTGCCAAATCTGAAAATTACTAACAAGACAACCAGAACTATGCTATGAAGATTACGGATCAAACCCCCATAACTGCCGTTCCCTCCCATCAGTTCTCCAGTGGACTACCTCGTTCCTCCTCCATCTCATGTGCGGAAGACTTGGTGTTTTCTCACGTCTCACACAGGGTCAAATATCTTTTAGAGGTCCAAGCCAGTTGGATACTAACAGTGTTTACACCTTATCATCTTTACGTCCTTAGATTTGTATTGATAATGTAGACAATCAGTGTTAAAAAACAAAAACCGCGTGGATAGTCGAGGTTGTTGAGGTATTTAGTTTTTTGTCTTAATTTGTGGACGGACGCAAGAGGTCCCACAGACTTTGTATGACTGATGTAATTCAGGCGAAGAGTAATTTTAATGCCTTATGTCTTTGTAGGATATTCCGTGGTGGTTGTTACCTTCTAGACAGTTGGATAAGACTAGTTTTTAGGGTCCTAAAGCAGGTTAAATAATCACAAAGAAGGAAACTGTCATGGAAGAGTTCTCCCTTTAATGTTTAAGGTTTGGACAGATAAGTGCCAGCAGTGAGGGACGACAAGTGTTCTGTGTGTGCGATGAAAAAAAAGGGCCCTTCGGTGTCCACGTCCTTTCGATGTCAACAACCAAAAGAGGTATTGAAGAAAAAAAAAAAACGTTTACTGTGCTGTACCGTGTGCCTAATTTAGAAAAAAAAAAAAAAATTTTAGATTGATGTTTTAGGAAGAAGAATTTTTGGTCTTTCAATGTGTTTGTGTTTTTGTTTTTTGCGTAGTGCTCATTTGGATACACTTAAACAGCATTTAACTGCCTGCAGTTGGTATATTGACAGTTGGTATGCCAGATCTGCAGAGTGTCGATGATGAAGATGACGATGCGTTTTCACGTCAAACCCTTTACTAACTGATGTTTGTGGCTCTTTCGTTGGCCAATTTGTTTCAACTGTGCGCCTTATAGTGTAGATTGTTTACAGTATCGTCAGTGTTGCGGAGACGCTGGAAATCAGCCGGTCTTTGCACTTCACGGAGATGTCATACAAACCCGCAAAAAAAAAAAAGAAGAAAACATGTTAACCTGCTCTTGTTGTGGCCGGGACAGGAAGTGAAATCTGCCCCTGTCGATGACGTGTGATGTTCTTGTGATCTGCTGTGGCCTTTTCCTACCTATCGCAGATGTTGCGATGTTGTGCAGAGGTGATGTGTCGTCCCCCCCGCATGTATTTCTTGCAGAGTATCCCCTCCTTGCATGATAAATGGTGAAGTGCTTTAATCCTGATGTTGTAGCTGTGGGTCAGTTGCTCAAGCAGCTATTTTCCTGTCTGTACTGGAGCCGTTTTTGTTTCAATCTGTTCTCCTCCTGGAGCCGCCGTTCTTTTTTCTAATAAAAATGATCAGAGAGCAAAACTGCCATTTTAATGTGTTTTATTTCATTAGGGTCCGTTCACCAGGCGGCCAGAGTCACAGGTGTGGAGGGCAAACAAACAAACAATGGATGAGAAAAACATTCTTCCAAGCCCAGCCTGCCCTTTTCAAGGCGGCAGTATGTGCCGGAGGCCTAAAGCATTCTTTTCTTCACATTATCAGCGACTGGCAGTGATAGCCGGCAGGTGTCTCGATTGGTTTTCTGTGAACCCAGACACTTTGTCTGGCTACACACACACACACACACACACACACACACACACACACACACACACACGCACACACTAGTCTCCAGGCTCCAGGCCCAGGCTGCTCTTTGAGCCGAGACCCTCCGGAACGCCATGCAGAATAACAATCTTCCCTCTGACACCGACGCTGAATATGTTGATATACAATCATCTGCTGCACACCCCCCTGAAAAAACCTGCATAATTTCTCACATTGAAGCAACCACGAGGATAGATTGACTTCTGAATGTTTCTCTGCCAGTGAATGTGTGCATCTGTTCTGTGTTACTAAACAATTCTGCTGATATCACACATCCACAGGTTTTATTTTGATTTTGTTTTAGGGAGGGCCGGGGAGCTGAAGCGGATCAGAATAATAAATGCGAGCTGATCCCACAGAGGAGAAATGTGCATTCTCCGCTTTTTGGGAATATTATGTAACAGACAACCTACGTCTTCACTGAAACCTTTTGTTCACTGTTTGCTCATTTTTTGAAAGTCAAAATAGTAATAGTGTTGTGGATGCCATCCTCGGCTAATTACGGCTCTAATGTGGAAGCAGAACTAAACATGCATCGTTTGTTCGTACAGGAAACTGCCAGTTTGTTGCACAAGCAGAGCGAGTAGCGAAGACAATCTGCTGGGATGTAAAGAAGAAACTTGTGAGGATAAGGTGCATTGATCTCCATCATTTAAAAAGAATGACACCTGTACTCAAGAATAATTCTGACATGAAAGAAAAACACCTTCAGTCCTACTCAAACCTTTTTCTTACACAAACACACTTTTAGTTTTTGACATTCTGATCATTTCGAGCAAAAATGGAAACAAATCATTCTGTAATGAAAGCCTTCTGAAATCTCATTAGCTCGTGCCAAACACGCCCTTACACAGCAAGCGGCAGTAAACATGAACCATTATGGATCGATAGCACAGTCATGCTTTATGCAACATGACTCATATTCAAGAAAAGCCTCTGATAATTGAATTACTTTCACCCTCTGCTCGCTCAGACGCCTTATATGCTGAATTTATTCCCTTTCCCAAGCGCCCCATTTCACTATTCAGCCTCCAGTTAATTTTATGGTGTCTGAGCAGGTTGGAAGGGACTGTTCCCCTGTGAATGTGAATTGCTGTGCAAGAGGACATAAGGAAGGGGACTACTGATATTGTATAATTGATTTTGCAGCGTTTTTTCTTATTCCCGAGAGCCATTGAGGTTCATAGTCTGTCGCATATTTCACTGAATAGTGTGAAGCTTCAGGGAATACTGGCGCCAAAGAAAAGTTGATTGCCAGCGTTATTTTAAAGTGCTTCAGGTCTCTACCTTTCAGAGAAATATTGGAAAAATAGTTAAATCTAAGCAATAGTCATAATCTACCTGTGTGAAACCTGCCTCTGGTTGTGGGGCGATGTGGAAAGTTGATGGATCAGCAAAGTGATTACAATTCATCCTGAGTGGAGCAAAAATCCCTGACCCCACAGAACCACAGTTTTAGACGTTCACATTCGCAAGTTCTAGACTCACAGTTTTAGATGTAAGCATGCCTGAGTTCTAGACTCAGTTTTAGAT